AACATGGAAGTCTGTATGTTTGTCTTGTAACAGTCCCGTAATTTGTCTTGTTCAAATTCGTGTTGTTATTAATTTTATAATGAGTGTCCCTGTGTTCGTCTTGTGAAGCTTCATTGTCGGCTAATTTCCACTCAGGAAAATTTTCCACAGGAGCAGACGGCGTCGGCTTAACTAACGACTTTAGCACTATGTAACTTTCCTTACCGTTCCTATCCTGCGGAAGGTTTTCCTGGGTGCAAACTGGCCTTTATTACTAAAGATCTAATGAAGAATGTGTCATGTTCGTTTTGTAAGGGCTGCTGTAATTGGCGTAAAGCTGTAGCATATACCCTGGCATTGATTGATACAGTTGTATATTCTTGTTTGTATTTGTGCAGATATGATTGTGTGAAATTGGCAAAGCAAAGCAAATAAATAAATAAATAAATAATTATTCCAGCCTCAGCTACATGGCAACAGTGCTAGTGAGAAAATAGCCTGTGTTCCAGTGCACTGCACCGTTTCATTCAGACCACTGGAACACACAGGCTCCGCAGATGAGATGTCACATCCAACCTAGTTCCCAGGTTTTATCGCTTTATTAATTACTTATGCATGCATATACTGCATCCTTAAACAGGCGACAATGGTTTAAAAATATAAGACCGCCTAAAAATTTAGAACTGTCTATTTTGCTAAAACGTCCGTGTCGAGAACTGTTATAAGAAATGCGGGAAAACTTATTTTGGACAGGTACCGGTCCAGGAATGGGAGAGCTATATAGTTCAAGTAAGATTGGACACAATTTTACTTGAACCGGAATTCCCCAAAGTCTTGGGTAATAAAACGAATTATCTCTTCCCCGGTAAAGTCATTAATTAACGCCTAATAAAATGAGAAAGTAAGCACGCAAAATATATAGTAAAAACACCTAATATGTCTCCAGCATCTTCCGCAGGCGTCTCTATGGGTTATAGCCTGCGATTGGGTAGTTCACCCGAGATGGTTGCGGAGGAGGCTAACATGTTTCAATGGTTGTTTGTTTTGCATCAATTTTTGGTCTGTCGATAAATGGACATGTTGTTTTAGCCCCAGACCCCGAAAAGCCCATGTCCAAATATAAGAATCGCTAGAGGATAATGAGGCAACGCGAAAAAGGTACAAGGCGACTTATTTAACCTGTAGCAGAGGAAAGACAAAATTACATTTGCTAAAACGTCTTCACTACAGCATGCAAAAAGTTTTCACAAGTGAAATTCGGCTTTATTTAGATAATATCATGCACTAAAACTTGACTAAAATGAGTTTATACCTATAGTTATAATATACAAATATACAACTCGTATCAATTAAGTTTGCACAAGAAGCAATCAATGGACGGTCATCTTAAATTACCAATCATTTTGTGAAATATTTTCTGGACCAAAATAGTATGGTCTATACGATGCGTTCTTTCGTTTGAAGATCCATCAGGTATTGCGAAACCAAAACTTTCACCTGAAAATCTCCCCAAACAATAATTATAATAATTCTTCCAGCGTCGTTGTGCGGACTTCGTCTGACCTGAGAACGGGCTGTGTCTCCATGTTGGCACATATCTACGATTTGGTATTCAATAATGGGTTCACTAGTGAAGCTCTTTTATCCAGTTAGACTTGCTGTATATATATATGATTTCTCGTTCAGCAAAAGGTCATCCAATGATATATTGAAAATTTAATGCCAACATATGCATGCCATGTTTCATTATAGCACCGAGTGAGAAATCCTTGTCTGCGATGCTTCTTCATCTGGGTGTATATGCCAGGGAGATTTGATGTGTGAACAAAATTCTCATTTTGACTAAACTGTTCTTAGTTTCTTTAATTCTGGTTGAATGGTGTCCGTTGTGGGATCAATATCTAATGGATCAACACTCAATCCGGGTACCTGCAAGGGATACAGAGATTTCATGGAATACATATATGGAATATACGAAGAGTTATTTTGTAAAAAATACGTATTTAATCGTATTCTCAAATCATTGCGGTCGATTGGGGCACCTTTCCCAGTTGATGATGTGAGGGTAATAAGACTATCCTACAGTATACGACCACAATGATCATGCATCATCAATTGCAAATATTGCCAATTGGTGGGTCTTATAGTGAACGATACGGGACAATAGATGTGGTACAGTGTTAACACAGGAGCAACAAAGTAAAATGATTTCATTTTACTCAATTCTGATTGGCTAAAAGCAGTGCAACTTTCTCAAAATACAGTGCCAAAAAACGAAATTCAGGGCCAAAAAAGAATACGTGACAGGCCCTTAAAAGTCTTTGACAGTTAAAAACTTGTTCTATAGAACGGTCGATTAAAGGCTGCTTTACTTCAACCGTATCGTAACGAAGCGTATTTCTTTGTTTCCTGAGCAAACGTGAAACCATGGATAGTTAAAAAAATGGATAGGAAACAGGCCATCAGACGTGCAGACCTGTTTGTTATGTCACGAATACAACGAATATAGTAAAGTTTACTGCGTTTTTCTTCCATTTCCCTATATTTTTCGCATTCAAGTTGCTATATTGAGATATTTGACTTTAATGGCAATGCCTGAAGGGGCTTTTCAGTGACAAAACTACAACATATTAATTTACAATATCATTATTACACTAAATCTTGAATAATTGATATAATTTACTAACTTGGACGAAGGGTTTTCGCTCGACATGTCGAAGTTCTGTTTGTATCTTTCAGGTAGTCGCATCTCGTACACCGCTGCTGTTTATTAAGTTGTTGTGCCATTCAAATGAGCAAGTAAATAATTTATTTCACATGTGTTTCATGGACGCAAGTTACCATGAATTTGCTTCAGCATAATATTTTCATGGATATAATTGATAAGTAATAGTATGGTTTCTCGAGCCATTTGGAAAAACAGACACTCGTGCTTCGAACACTCGTGCTTTGAACTCCTGTAATTTTGGTCGTCTTTGAAAAACTCACTCGTGCATTTTTTCCCTAAACTGCATTCAAAACATGCATACTAGGCCTATTACTAGGCTACCTATATATAAATACGAGATTACGCTACATAAATTATGAAACGAATTTACATAATGTTTCCTATCGGAAATTTTTGCCGTAGCGGAGGCAAAGAGCCTGGCTTGCTTGGTGGCCCATGTCCATATAGTAATTATAATAATTTAAACCTACCGCAGGTTGAACAAGGGAAATATTAACAAATCGATTTCTTGATGAAGATGTTTCCACTTTAATTTGGATTAAAACTTTGGAGAATACTCTGAATGTGACATCATCAATCGTTAACGATGACTCCTGAAAAACCAAATAAAAAATATTACCTCTTGGCTCTTGTATATATATATTGCTACATAGAATCGCACTGCAAAATATATTTAATCCAATTTGCCGGACACAGGTAGCTACCCGTAGTTCCTTTTACCAGGAGGGAGACAGTGTCTGTTTAATTTTAGAGAAATATTTGCTGGAATTGAAAAGATTATCATCATTCTTAATTGGAATTATCAATCTCATTGCATAAATCTTGTATATGAAAATATTTCATCTGCTCTCGTGATGTATGAAAAAGTTTATAATAAAGCATTGCTTTACATTGATACTAAATTAAAGTGACTTCATTTGTTTTGAAGAAACCTCTGAATAAGTATTGTACTCGCGCACAATTAAGGATAAACAATACGAGAGCCGCTGCGGGGAGGAGTTCTGTACTGTTCTTTTTCTTGAAACAACAATTAAACAACAAGAAGCTTTTATTGCTTCTTCATCTTACAACTTACACAACTTACATAATGTAAATAAATGTAGAAAAAATATATAATAGATCAACAAAATCACACTCCTATTGAACCGACATATTGAATATATTTGCTCAAATTTGTTCCCAAGCCCCACTCTTGATTTATTAATTGTGCAGTAGTACACTGAATAATTGTAATACTCTCAGCCAATCAGGAATTAGTAATTAGTTGCCGTGTAAATCATAAACGGAGAATTTTGCTGTGGAATTGGGTTGAGTTAAAACAACCAAGCAGGTGTGGTCTGTAATCAAATCACTTGAATCTGCCCACTTGTCCTTGCGTCAATCTACAACGTACCTCATCGTCAAACTTGCTTCGTGATGTTACTTCGCGTAAAAATATATTTCCTTCAATTCCATATTTGGGAATCAACACTTGTAGCGCATTCTTTCTCACAAACAAAATGTAAGCTTCTTCAACCACAACACGATCTTTGAAAAACAGCTTGAAAACATAAAAAATAATACTTTTTAAAATCGCGATGTTACCACCATGTTCCCCAAACAATCGAAGCATGTACATTGGTCAGTGAAGACTGCTAGGAAAATGTTTTTGAAATATAAACGACCAGGGTAGAGACGGAAAAATAGATTCATGTATAGGCATGTAAGTCGTGCATGACCTTGCGTTCTGCCATATACCAATACTTTTAAGTCTCATGAAAGGTTTATCTTGATAATTTTGAAAACTCTGTAGCTACATTCACTAAAGCAACAGAACAAGCAGAGGCGGGTCGGGGCAGGAAGGGCCGGACCCCTCACTTTTCTTCAGGACCAACTTTGTAATTCTTTCAAAACTGGGGGAGGGGGCGTAACCTCTTAATGGTTTCATCTATCACATAAAATATATACCATAAAAAGTTATATCATAAAACGTTCTATACTGATGCATGAAATAGAGTTTAACGTTTCGTCTTAACTCCAGACATCTTCAGCCTGACAGTAAAATTAAAATTAAAATTAAAATGACAAGGATTATGAATAAATTTAAGTTACAATATTTAACAATTATTGAATGAGTTTGAGCACGATATGAAGAATTATCAAGCCCGAAGTTTGCCGTTATGTATTTTATTTGTATTAAGAAAAAACAATCGTCGTCTCGTCATATCAATGGCGTCAGCGAGTCAATATGATTCTCGTCGTCATAGTAATATGGCGCAAACGCGTCCAAATTTTTTTCATATTGACTTTTTGACGTCATTTTGCTAATATGAATGTGAAAAATCCATATTTGGTTAGCCATTGAGTTGATATGACAATTTCATAGTTGGTTGTTAGCCAATCAGAAACCAGGAATTTTTTAAATAAATAATAATACAAGTTATTAACTTACAGACACAGAAAACTAGGAAATGAGAGTGGGGACTGGAATTAGAGCAGGAAAAGAGGGACAGAACTATCTTTCCTGTTAATTAAAATTAAAAAAACTTTGGTGAGTTAGAAGTTCATCAGAGATGGCGCAGGATGAAAGAATACTCTGAAGATGTTTTCAGTCAAGACGAAATGCCACTGTCAATAAAATGTGTTTCTAGCTGTATTATGCTGAGCTCTTATTTTCGTCATAAGAATATACAGTGCAGCTGCTAACGACCATAAAAGTGCTCAATTGTTTTAATTCTTGAAACTATTTTTTTTTTATATTAGTAAATTATAGATTTTATTAGTACAAATTGAGAATTTCAGTCTTTTATCATTTCAGTGAACAATTGCGGCGGTCGATAACAACAAATGCCATTGTTTGACTTGAAGGACGCAAGATCTCTCTCCTGTAGTTATTTAAAAGCAATTTAAAACCAACCTGAGTATGCAATTCAACTGACGATCGAGAGGCGAGTTGTGCCATGTGATGACGTTTATTTAACTGGTTACAGATGTCCTACAGAAAAAAGTTGAAATTTTGAATATCGTAAATGATGTACTCAACGCTCTGATGCGGATATACTATTTCAGAACCATCTGATCCTCATGCAGAAATATGAAAAACTAGTTTCATGTTATTCTGACACGGCGAAGAACAACAAAAAATTCGTTGTCTCGAGCGGAATTCGTATCTTCGGGTTTCTAGACAGCGCTCTACCTATTGATCAATCGCTGGAGCAATTGAGTCAACGGGGATTGGAACGAGTCTGACCACGAATTTTCCGTTGTCAGAATAATAGGAAATTAGTTTATGCAGATATACGGTGTATAACAACAGCAAAATTGAATTTCTTTACCTGTGTATTTTGTTTGTTAAACATTTGAGGAAATGAAGGCATAGCTCCTATAGCAACAGCCAAAAGTCGATGGACGAGAATATCAGAATACCTATAAACAAAGTTGACTGGTATAGTAGAATGACATAAAGTATGTCCAGCGTTCAAAATGCAGTTAATTAAATGATAACATGATTATCAAATGTACGAATATTAAATTACAATTTCAGAATGCGATAATTATGTTTGACTGCACGCCACTCATAGTACTCCAAGGATTATTGCTGCATATCTGAGCTGGTAAAAACGGTTTATACATATAAGGTGCATAAAGCATAGTTTTGCAGAATGTCTTCGTTCCGTCAAAATGTCTGTGGAGAATAAAATTAATTGGCCATTCAGTGTTTTTGTATAATCAGGGTTGTAGGTTGGGGGGCTGACCTCCCAATATTTTAGAAGATTGCATATTCATAACCTGGAAAGAAACCTTCACAACTGTCGTGTTGAAATGATGCAGCAATGTTAGTAATCTGTGCTTGATTACTATGATCGTACTATTATATCAGGTTATGTATGTGGCTCCAACATGAAATAGGTTCGATATATCGGAATCTTTTATTTGAAATTCTTCCTTCAAAAAACACCACTTGAAAAATTACTAGAACCAAAAATAAAAACTGGAACTTTCTATGTTTATCATATTGCACCCTCCACGCCTTGT